TTCATCCAATTTTTCATTACCACTGCTAGTCCAACTTTGAGCTAACAATTTGGGATCACATGATTGACACCACTGGTCATTAGTATTATATCTTGCACAAACAGAACAGATCCATATTCTTCTTTTCTTTCTTTAAACTTCTTAATGTTATCTTATTATTTCATTATAAAAAATTAAAAATAAAATAAAATAACTCTTCAGCATAATAAAAATAGATGTTCATTCCAAGTGAAAAGATAATTTATAAATTATTTTACCTTCAATTATTAGTTATTATACACAAAAAATAAAATTATTTAATTAGACAAGGTTTTGATAAAATTTATTTTGTGTTGTAAAAGTTATATAACATAATATTTACCAGCTAGTTTTCATGTAACATATTATTAAATTTTATCATGCAATTTAAAAATATTGGTTTAACGGATAAATTTCGAGACCAAATTTTCCTATTAATTATAATATACATTATCTTTGTGTCATCGAGTTTATTCGTAGTTCATACAGTCAAACCCCTGTTATAACCCGAGTAAATTCGTTATAATTAAGGTTGTGGGCGAAACTCATCCATAAATCAATCGACAGAGTTTTGACAGGTTACACATTAATTGTGTTTTGTCAATTGTCAGAGTTTTGACAAGGTATATATACTAATTGTTCATTAGAGTTTCAACAGAGTATTGACAGTCACTAAGAGGTTTCGGCAAATAACTTTAGTTATAACGGATGCTAAAACCCGTTACAACAAGGTTTGGCCGTATCTTTCTTGCATAATTGTTGAGATATGTGATTTTTTGTATACATCCTTGTCTTTGAAACACATTGTATACTTGAAATAAAACCATTATGTTTATTATCATTCGCTAATTCTGATGCATTTACTTATTCAATACACTTATTCAATATTAAGAAAGCTATTACTATCTAATGCTGATTGAATAATAATAACATGGGGTCTACACAAAGATAATCAACCAATAATGACTTTAGCTACAACATAAATAAACTTCAGCTTATGGATGTTAATTGATTATGTATCCCGCAATTGATTAAAAACGATGGTAAAATTTTTATTATCGATTGAATTTAGAGGTTGGAATCAACTAAAATAGTCAACTAAACTTTTTCTTGAACAACTAATAGTCGACTACTAATACTATGCTAATATTATTATTGTCTGTCCAATTACGATTTTTGTGTTTTATCATTCAAAATGGAAAATTTCAATGCGGAAGAGTATCAATACCACCAATATGATGATGACGACAATAGTAGTGTGTTGTTGATGATAATTTTACATGTGAATGAATAAACACCTCTAATACAAAGTCCAATGATTTAAGCGGTTTAAAATACGAATCGTAACACATGGTTTTGTGTGGAAGTATTTTGAAAAAGTGAAAAATTCAAATGGAAATGAACTCGTAATTTGCAAATTAAAAAAAAAAAAAAACGAAATATTATTATAAGAAATTTTTGACCAACTAGTAGTCAACTAAGGATTTTTTGGACGATTCCAAACCTCTAGATTGAATTGAATTTATAAATCAAATAATAATATAGAGAAATAGTAGAATTAGATGGAGACAAATTTGAAGCATATAAATCAAGATTGGCAAATACGTGGCCCATTTAATGTAACAATTTAACCATATCTAATATTTTATTAGTGGCAATAAAAGTCCGTCCGTGCTCAATAGACCAGTCAATTTTGCTAACCCTGCCTTAAATGCTTCCTATTGAAGAAAATGAGCCATTAACAATGGTGGCGTGATAATTCCCAATGCTTTCTATTTTAGCCATAAAATTTTTTGCAATTCCTTCTTCAGAAAGACTTTTTTCTGATGCGGGACAACAAATTACTTTGTTGCAAAACTCCTTTTTTGAAACGAAATAAAAAATTTGTTGATAAAAAATCGAAAATAAAATTTTATTATTTCACATTTAACATGCTTATTGTGCTGTAAAGTGTGCCGAAACTTTCTAAGTACAAGAAAGGGGCAATGAGCAGGTTAATTATTAAATAATTCGTAAATAAATTAATTGACGAGCAGTGAATGCAAAAGCTACAGTTAATTGACAAGTGTAGCTAAAAGGTTAACTCAAACTCGGCCATAAATGTAAAACAATAAAAAAAAGCTAACTCGCAATATAAAAATCAATTGCAATCAATTATAATTCGATTTTTCAATTTTGATTATCAATTGTGAAAAATCAACCAATTAACATCCCTATTCAGCTTCTACTTTTAAAGGCCAATTATCATTCAATATTTTATTTTGGTTCTCTCTGCTACATCAGGAAACCATTAGTTGTTGTTTTATTACATTGTTATTTTATTTTGTAGATTATGAAACTCACTTATCCTGTAAAATATATGTACAATGTGAAACCATTATTTGTGAGTGCACACTATTATTAAATCAATTAATAAAATGAAATAATTATTTTTGTCATGTTTAAATGAATTTTGGAACACTTTCTGCCTGAATACACAATCTCTAACACTAACACACTTTTCTCTTATTAGTGTCTTATCTTATCTTATCTTATCTTACCTTAGTGAATCCAATCATTCCTACAAAGCTCAATTGTCCTGTGTTTCATGCATTGAAGAATGAAATGAGTTCACACTATTTTTTCACACTACAATCGTACCTCCATATAAGGACCCTCCATATAAGAGCACCTCTTGTTAAGAACACATTTTGCTGTAACAGACTGATTTTGAACCGATTTGATAACGATTTTCCCTCTATAAGAACCCTCTATATAATAATAAGAACTAGAACAAATTTTTCTATAATATTTCTTTGTAATTTCAAGAATAATTTTATGTAACTGGGTTTTTTTGATTTTTTGTCTAAAAAATAAAAAACGAGCCTCAATTAGTAATGAACTCCAGTGTTTAGGTTAGTAGTTTATGTTTAGGTTTAGTTTTAGGTTTAGTTTTCTGCTTAGTGTAAGTTCATTTTCCAAAACGTTTCGGGAAGCCAAAAGAGTTTCAGGTCACAACACTGATGAACTCAGAAAAGAGATATGTATTTATGCACAAAATCGTGTTGATATAAAACAACAAATTATTATGGATTTTTTTTAATAATAAGTATCCAGGTCTTGATATTGGTCGTTCAACAATTGCTAAGATATTAAAGGAAAGTAAAAAATGGTTAAGCATTGATACTAATTCTATTTCTAAAAGTAAATTTCGTAAAAAAGATGTTAAATTTCCATTACTCGATCAAGCTCTAAGTCGTTGGGTAGAACAGATATCAGCAACAATTGTTGTATTGAATGAGCAACTTATTAAAGAGAGAAAAGTCGGGAATTTGCAAATCTTTTAGATCAAGATGATTTCCATTTTCAAATGGGATGGATGTGAAATTGAAATTGAAATATTATGGAGTGGGGTGAAATTCTGATTGGCTAATTTGAATTTCACATATGTGAATTGCGAATTTACATAATTTCATTTTCACGTACAACAGATCCAAAAATTCAAGAAAAGAAATCAATTAGTCTCTTATAGATTTTATGGTGAAGCAGCAAGTGCTCCCATTGAATCACTTCCAGAAGAATGAATAAAATTACAAGAGATAATTTCAATATTTGATCCTGCAAATGTATTTAATGCTGATAAGACAGGGCTTTTTTTTTTGTATGGCACCAAATCATACACTAGCAAAACGTAGGATGGCAGGGAAAAAATTGATACATATTAGTAGTGCATTTCAAAGTTTATTAATGTTTTTTATATATACATATTGTCTAATTTATTTAGGACAAGTCTCGTATAACAGTTCTTCTTGCTGTAAATTCAACTGGTACTGAAAAATTGCAATCATTGGTAATTGGTCATTCAAAAAGCCTAGGTGCTTTGCTGGGATTAATATTTCAAATTTACCTGTAATTTACAAATACAACTCAAAAGCTTGGATGCGTTCTGATATTTGGGTATCATAGTTAAAACATATAAATGAAGAATTCCGAACTAAAAAAAGACAAGTGTTGCTTCTTGTAGATAATGCAAGTTCACATTCTTTAAATGATGGTGAAACTCCTCTTCAATTGTCAAATATCACATTGCAATATCTCCCGCCTAACACCACATCACACCTACAACCAATGGATGCAGGAGTCATCAAGTCATTTAAAGCTAAAATACAAACATTAATATTGCTGGCATATTCTGAGACAATTTAAAAGTGGTGCAAATATTGAAAAGTTAATAAACTTCCCGATTATGTACTTTTTGGTTTTTTTCTCATGATTTTTTTTTAGGTCTAAACTCAATTTGAAACAAGCTATTGATTATGTTTATCAATCTTG